TGAGATCTATCCATAAATGGCTAGATCTCAGTGATCACTACGCTTCTCATTACCAAGATACTCATAAGCAGAAAAACTCGACCCTATCCTCCCACTCCCTTAAACAAATCAATTTTCCATTTCGTGGCCCTGTATGGGCCCCGTGGCCCATACCTGGCCCCGACCACCTGGCCCTAATTCGCGGGGTGGCGTTCTATTCGGAAGGCAGTACCCCTGGCAGGAGAGGGGGTACTGCCTAGAAGAGAAGCCTCGCAGAGACGCCCTTCTTGCCGTTGCAGAGTGTGGGCGGGCGGTCGATGGCCGAATCGATGAGCGAGAGCACGACGACCCGAGGGGAACACCCACAGCAGCCACAGCTGCACCACCACCACCACACCCCCCGCCATCCACTTCCCCACCTCAACACCACCAGCTCCATCACCAGCTACACGCATGCGATGAGCAGACCGGGCGGCCAGCAGGCTACGAATTACTGCTGTGAATGTGCCGCGTCACAGGTAGTTTTTGGAATTTTTGTTGGGAAGTGAGTCTTCTGAATTTATCTGGAGAATTCCCACGCTCATCAAAATTTTCTGGAGCTTTTTCGGGACGATTTTCCAAGGCGTACCATTATGAGTTTTCTCTCTAGTTTTCGATGTTGGAGGTGAATGCTCCATTTTTTGATTTTCAAATGAAAATTAGGATGTCTGCTATCACAAATTTGCATAGCTGTTTCGGAAAATAAGACTGAAGCAGTAAGATTTTCGTAATAGAAATTCATACTTAGACTGCCCGTATTCAGATTAAATTTTATTAATTCACCTTAAAATCATATTTTTTGCCGTTTTTGAGAAATAAAACTTCAACTCATCTAAAAACAGCTTTTCGTTTTTTTAAAGGAACTGGAGTAATAGAAAAGCTCCTTTTTTGTTTCCAGTCCATTGATAAAAGTCTCAAGCGACTAAAAAAAAACAATTTTTCGCATTAGAACTGATTTATTACAGTCCCGATGCTCGGCCGACACTTGTCCATGCGTCGCTTCTCGGCGGATGTGCGACGAACACTGCGAATCGGCCAGGTATGGGTTTAAAGGTATTAGAAAGCCCGAGAATCTATCCTCTTTATATTCTTGGTGTCGACAGCTAGGCAAGGGGCCAAAAACCCATTTATGCTAAATTTTGATCGTAGTTGTCGATACCCAAACGCTTCATGGGTAGATTCACAAGGCTCCTGTCTATTACAACGGATTTCTCAGCCCAATTTACGTCTATTTCCGGCTTCTATAGTCTTGGGCCCCAAAACCCCGGGGCGTTCCTCTCAACCTGAGTGCCCAGCCAAGTTAGGAAAAGAGGGCTGCCTTTTTCGCACGCTTCTCCTAATCCACCCGGCCAGCCGCGTCGTCTAGTCGCAAAATTGCGGGGTTGCGGTCATAAAAAATTAGATGGCCACCAATCAGGCTTTGGGAAATGCTGTAAAATGCTGAGTGAAAAGCCGCGGTTAAGGCAACTTTTAAATTAAAAATTAAACACTAGTAGTCGCTAAGTTTTACAGAAAAATGTTTTTCTCTAGAAAAAAACGGATTTATCATGATTATTTAGGCTTTCCTGATTCTTTAAGGCCAAAAAAATTCCGCTTAATTAATAGGAACTTCGAATTATCTTCTTAGCGCGCGTAAGACTGTGCAAAAATTTCAGATATCGAGGCGATTGCTTGAATCAGGCCATCTGCAAGTGCTCGTGTGAGGTGGACCCGGCCAAGCCGGCGAAGAACGCGTGCAGCAAGAGCGAAAGGTTCGAAATTATCCTTCACCAGGGTTGAAAAGCCGCTTCGCGACTTTTCAACCCTGGCCCCGTCTAACCCCATTTTATCCTTCACTTTGCATAATTGTTCTAAATTCAGATGCTAAAAAGAAAAACTATCTCTCTGTCCATTTATATAGTCGAATCCCAACTTCCGGTCTATGCTAAATAGTCCTAACAAAGAAGTTTTGACAAAAACTTAATTTTATTGTCGAAAATAGGTGATTTTATTGAAAGATGCGTGCAGTCATCTCCAGGCCATTACGCACCTAATGACCTATCATACATACCTTAAAATTCATCCCCTATCGAGATATCCTCCGGACAGCCAGACGGAAGTGGATGCAAAGTGGCACACACACACACACACACTATTTTTTTTATATATAGTAGGATCCCTGGGTAACCACTTTTTTAGGTGTGACTGCCTTCGAATCAAAGAGGGTTGCTCGAAGCTTTGCGCCTGCAAGCAGATCTGCAAGAATAAGGTAGGTAAAGCCGGATTTCAAGTGATGTGGACCTTGTAATAGGTATTTAAGGCTTTTTCTACAAGTTAGAATCACTTAAAATTATTGTTATTGCAGGAACAGCCCCTCAAGAAGATTCAAAAAGTCACAAAACCCGCCCAAGGTTGCAATTGTGCGAAGAGCAAGAAGCAGTGCGTGAAGAAGGAGTGCCCGTGTCGGAGCGTTTACGAATTTTGCTCATCTGCGTGGGTTTTTGCCGAACTATGCCGCTTGCTTTCTCTCCCCATCTCTTTCTCTCTCTCTATCTCTCTCTCTCTATCTTGTTCTCTCACTCTCGCTCTCTCTCTCTCGCTCTCTCTCTCTCTCTCTCCCGCTTTCTCTTCTCGTCTATCGCAACTTACCTCGATAGTGTTGGATTCTTATAGCTTTTGAGGTTTTTATGCAAAAACCTGGCTGTCACCATCCCTTTAATTCCCATCTCCTATCCTCCAGCAAACCTAAAATCGTTCCAAACAGCCTCGGGCCCTTTGCCAAAACCCTCTTCAAAAAAACAAGCACACGGAAATTGGGTCCGGGGCGCTCGCCAGCCAATTTGCGCCCTGCTCGGAATTTCTCCCGAGATTCGCCGGAATGCCCGAAATGGGCCGCCCGCAATCCTCTAGATTTCGGGGTGGTGATTGAGTGGGAGAATTGGGGCGATGGGCCTTTATGCGGTCGGAGGCCCTGGGTCCTATCCGATGACATCCTCCCATCTAGGGCCCGATATCCAGGCCGGGCCCGGGCCAAGGGATTCGGTTTGTGAGCCCACTGGGGGCAAATATGAGAAAGCGGCGAAAATGGAGATCAAGATGGATTTGAATACAGAATCTGGAAGTCTCTTTGAAATTCAGAAAAATCAGCAATTCCCTGATTTTGTTTGGACCATAATCTTCGGTATAATACAGCCACAAAGCTGAAAAATTTTCACGATTGCGCTCTACGCCTATTTACGTTTTTTGCCCCTTGTAAATGTCAAAAATTGAAACGATAAGACCAGCGTTGACCCTGTCGGGGGTGCTCGCGTTAAGACTCAAAAACCACTTGCCGCCACCCGGATGCACCGCCATAGCTCCGTTGGTTAGAGCGTGGGTCTAATAAGCCCAAGGTCGCAGGTTCGACCCCTGCTGGCGGCAAACTTTTTGCTTTTTGGAATTCGAGACCGTTTTTGAGCGTCATACAGAGCCTCGGGGTCCAAGTAATATTTTAATTAAGAGGATGACGAATTTTGCTACCAACTTGTGATTTTTTGACGCATCGGGATATAAATACCGTCCTAAAGCTGATCAATTTTTGAAGGTTCTTCATTAAAGCTACCCGCGTTTTCTTTTTCGCCGCTTACGATGGGAAGACCAGCGAGGCTTTTATGCCTTCAGCCCTCCTCAACCCAAAATTCTCGCCGATTCGCAGTTTCCATTCTCTTGACCAGTGCCAACCCGTTTGCCCAGTCAATCCCCGAAAATCCGCGAGCCCTCCGCGTGAGCGTGTGTGTCCATTGGAGCAGCGGGGAATGCGGGCCATTGTCCCGGGTGTTCGGCCCTTTCAAGGGTCCCTTCTCTGCAGGGCCCCCTACCCCAGCCAAGTGCCAGCTGTGCTCTCTCGGCTAGGGAGAGCTAGGGAACCCAGGAACCACCGGACACACACACATTATAATTAGCACCACCTCGCCCGTCCGAACGGGGCCCGCTCGGGACCAAAACAGCGTGAGCCGCGTCAGGATTGGGATTGGCTGCCCACGGGGGGATTTCCGACGGATCAAGGGCACCTGGGCTTCACCTGGACCAATGGGGGACCCAGGCTGAAAAAGGGAAATGAAATCAGGGGGTTTCGAAGGGAAAATTAGCGGTGATATTCGGAAATTTGATCTTTTTGTGGTGGTCTAGAGCCAGATACTGTCAGATTTTTTCTAGGGTATTTTAGTTGAGAAAAATGAAGGCAGAAAGCGTGATCAGCATGAGCTTTTAAATACCCATGCACTAGCCCTTCCGGGTGTTTTGCGAAAAAATGACGCAAAAAGTATCGAAACGCGGCTTTTCCTTTACTAAAAACCAACTTTCTCATCGACAACCAGAAGAAAAAATGAAAACCAATAACTCTCTTTCTCGTGAATCCGTTCAACTCACATGCAGAACTTTGCCCTCCCTGTATCAAACCTGAACCGTGAAAATGAGCCAAAACCCTAAAAAGCAAAACAATTTGCCGCCAGCAGGGGTCGAACCTGCGACCTTGGGCTTATTAGACCCACGCTCTAACCAACTGAGCTATGGCGGCCCTGTGGGAAGGGGGAACGGGAGGTGTCATCACGAAAGGGAAGCCAACGGGGTATGGTACCAGGCCCCAACTACCCGTCAATAAGCTGCCGATTTTCAGATGCAAATGCTGTGGCGACTGCACGAACGGCCCTTCGAAATTCCATGTGCCGAAACATGTCCAAAATTGCTTCCTGGAGCACAAGCATGAGAGCAGCGGGTTGATAGTCACATTAATAGGTGGGTGTTGGGTGGCTTTTAGAGCCGCCAGATTTCAAGACCTGTACCAAATTAGTCATACTCACAGAGGTTTTTGCTTTGATTCTATAAGTTATTTTTTTATAAAATCTTATTCTATAAAAATTATTGATGAAAAATTGGTGAAGCTCTTCGATGCTATTAGAAAGCACAAAGTCAACTGTCAAAGCTTGTTAGGGAAAGTTTGTCGTTTTCCGAGGCAAAAGAATCACTGGCCTTCAGAATTTAAAAGTTTGAAGTTTAATTAAATCAATTAAAATAGGCTTAAGATTGAAATTTAACTTTTTGCAAGGGTCAGCGTGCCGAGATCATTGAAAAGGTTCCAAGCACAAACTTGTATCATAGCAGCACTGTTTTTAGGAGAAGACTACATCTATAGAGGCGATTTCTACCACGAATCAAAAAGCGAGCCCCACGTCGAGGAGCAACTTGTGGCAGCAATTTACGATTTAATCTCGAAATACAAGGTTTTTGCAGCTATTTGTAAAAAACATAGATTTTTAGGTCGACCTCTACGAAATCGTCATCTTCGTCTCAAAATCCCCGTGCTTTCACCAGGACTGCGACCCGAAATGCGAAGTGATAGACGAGTGCAAGAGCAACAAAGCTTGTGCGAAATTGCTGGGACTGTTGTTGTCGAAGGTGTGTAACTCTAAATTCCATATTAAATTTTGTAATTTAGGTCCGAAAAGAGTTGAGCAAAGTGGACGTGAAGATGACGGTCAAATTTTTGTATCCACACCTGAATCGGGGAGATTTGTACACGAAGCAAGGAATTTTGTGTATGTTGCAGGCTGGAATTAAGGTAAGCACAAAAGCTGGATGAATTTGTTGCTCCCAATGGCATAATTTTGTGTATATAGACAACCTATGCTACAAGCTAATTTTTTTTACGAAATACACTGACGTTATTAGTGGAGCATGTTCAGGAAAATATACATTCGGACCCATTAAATCGACGTATCTAGCAAAAAACGGCGGTATATGTCGGCTACGCGGGGGGGGGGGGATTTTACGCGGGGGGGCAGGACAGGCAGGCCTTTTTGGATGTTCTCGTTATTTTCTCGGAATTTTTGCAACGGCATTCGATAGAGCACCGACCGAAAAATATACTAAGAGTTTTTGTTTTAGCTCAAATTAGTGTAATATAAAAAAGTTATGGCAAATACAAAAATAAGCTTTGAAAATCGGTTTGAGCGGATGTTTTTTGACATTCGCGCTATTTTTTTCGACATTTTAAAGATGTCATTCGAAAGAGCATCCAAAAATATACTAAGAGTTTTAATTTTAGCTCAAAATAATGTAACATAAGTTAGTTATAACAAAACAAAGACAAGTATTAAACGTTGTTTCCATGGAGGACATAGAAGGAAATCAAGTTTTCGACAATTTCGACATTTTTACAAAATTTCTTTAGTGCCATTCGACAGAGCATCGAAAAATATACTAAGAGTTTTGTTTGTAGCAAAAAGAAACGCAAAAAAATAGTTAGCTCGGCCCCAACAGTCCGTCCCCCGCGTAAAATTCCCCCCGCGTAGCCGACATATACCAAAAACGGCATTCGAATACCTGAAATGGACACCTTAAAGGGATAAGGATGGCCCAGTAGATCAGAGCTCATTTGTAATTGGCAACAGTCCAACCGAAAACGCAAATTCAAAAAAAATGGGCAGCGAGTGCGCGAGGCAGGAGCAACAGAGAAGATTTATGCTAATTTTAGAACTATAGTTCTCGTATGCTACTTTTTCCTGGGCTTTCCTGATCCCTTTAAATCACATCACTTCTTCAAAACCTTGTTTTCCTACATGGCAAATGATTTTCCAGGTCGAGCCTCTCCTGATGAAAGACTGGTCAGCAATAATGGATTGGTCACCCCATGTCGATCACAAGGGAGAATATTTGAAGATGTGGAATGATCACAACCTAGACAAGGTATGTTTTGGGCAAAGCCCGAATGATAATTGACAATAATTAAATCTGTTGTTTACAAACATGAATAGAAAATAGATAATTTAACTTCTTTTTTAGGCCGTCGCTCAATCCCAATCGTTTATCAACGAATGCCGAAGAGCGCTGGGACTCTCTATGAAATTCTGGGTCGCTGAGATTCACGAAATCGTCAAGAATGCTATTCTGCACTATTCTGAGATACGGGTGAAGTGCGGGGAGTTGAACGACGCGTTGAAACAGGTGTGAATTTTGACGACCAAAATTTAATCCGAATTTGCATTTTCAGCTCGACCTCACCGCCACCCCGCACAAAATCCGGTCGACCCCCTCAAAACGTAGAAGCTTCATCGACATGCATGAGCTACGCGACAAGCTGTTGATGCGCTCCTCCACCCACGACCAGAAGAAGAACGGCTCGAACATGTCGGTGGCCAGGTACCCCGCTTTCGCTTTCTTTGCACACTCTGTTACTGTCGTTCGTGGAAAAGCACCCTTTCAAAAACATTAAAAAATCTAATTTAATCAAATTAACGCTTTTCACTGTTACGTTAAAACACTTAATTAAGTTTTTCAACATTTTGAACTGAATTTTTTGGTCGCCATCTTTAAAGTAATTTTTCTTTTTCCGGCTTTCTTATCGCGTCGGCATTTTTTGGTTTTTGTCGTGTGCTGTGCGCTTTTTTCGATTCTTCGAAGCCAGATTGAAGATGCCTATTTGCTCGGCCCATCCGGCCAAAACAATAAAAATTGTACCTTAAGGTTGAATCAGAATCGCTAAGCGTGTTGTGCGGTCTAAAACACGACCTAGGTACCGTAGTATTTGAATTTTGAATTCCTTTTCAGCGATGATGCGCACGCGCAAGCGATGGTGGCCTCGTTCTGTGGACGGTCCTTTGATGATTCGGAGACGAACGAGATTGCGCAGCGGATCAGAAGAGCCACTGCTAACATTAACGTCGAGATCGAGACTTTGCTGGAGTTTTTGACGCATAAGGGTGCCATTGCCTAGGAAATGCATTTTTTAAAGGGCTTGTGAAGGTAAAAAAAGATTAATATACAAGTTATGATGGGATCCAGAAGCTTAAATATGCAATTTTACGACCTCTATCTTTTGAATTTTGTCTTCACAATCCCTTCAAAGATTAGGAAACGAGATTATGACAATATTTTCATAAGTATCCAACCTCAGCTTTACAGTACAGTATTATGAAACGGTATAGGCACCCATTAATGCGCAAATGCCGTCGTGGAATTTCAGCTTTTTGCCCCTCGTTTTTCCCCCGGATCCTTTTCCGTGTCTTACCTAGCTCCTACGCCCTCCTCTCTGCCTCGCTTTTTGTGATTATTTTCCCCAGATTAAATTTGAATCCCCTTAAATCTTGTTTTTTTTTGGCGTTTTCTAAATTGTTCAGTTTACACGCCTTAATGAGCCTCCAAATCGTTTCCATGCTTCCCGAACCCTTGAATTTCTCACGCATTTTCCTACGAACACTGCCATGACCTACGCAATGATCTCAACTTTTTTTTGGTCCCCGGATCTCGATTAATATGCATTATAAATCTCATTAATTATTCGAAGAGTGAAAATAAAAGATTTTCCCCGTATGCACGCTTTTCCGTGAGTTTTTTGCAGGTCGTAACATCCCCAAAATTACCGGAAATGAAAACAAATACCTGGTACAGCTTTTCCCCCGCCAGACGCCTCAGGAACGAAAAAAAAACCGCCTTTGAAAATTTCGGGTTTCCCGATTTTACGATCAACCCCAGATAGGAGCATTGTAAAGTGCAGACAAAGATACGGTAGTAGTAACCCAAATTACAGGCCAACAGCTTGGACTTGGAGGAAAATGGTTTTTATTCGCAACCGGTAATTTTGACGTCACGTCGCCGCGGGAACGACGCTTTGTCTCTTCTAGCTCATTATAAAGCTAGAGATCCTGATGTTAGGTTGGAATTGGAAAAAAGAAGAAAAAGTGAATGTTGCTCGAAGTTACGCGTCGTCAGCTTTTTGTTGGTGGCTTCAGAGATCAGCGGACCGGGGCGACAAGTTTTACTGACGTGATCGGGGCCACTTTTTCTGGGATTTGGGTCATGGAGTAGTTCTAAAATTTGTGATGTCATTCAGAGGTTGGGGTTAGGCTTAGGCTTAGGTCTGGGCTTGGGCGTAGGCGCAGGCTTAGGCTCAGATGAGAGGTTGGGGGAAGCTTAGGCGCTGCTTTAATCTTGCGCCTAAGAGCTGGACGTAAATTGGTGGAGAGAGATAGAGCGTGGGAGCGTGAGCGAGAGAGAGAAAGAGAGATAGAGAGATAGAGAGAGATAGAGAGCGAACGTGTGAGAAGCCGTGAGGTAAATAAAGAAACACATACCGTATGCATGCCTCCGACCGTAACGCATAGCCACAAAATATTCTTTCTCACAGCGCGTCGCAAATTGTCCGAATGCCAAACCCAAATCCATATGGTAGCTATTGATTGGAATCCTATGCTCACCGTTGCCACGGTCTTAAAGAAGCTATTGGGCGCACAGTGACAGCTTACCATAACGTACGGTCTCAACGTATTTTCCTCAGACATTGTTACATTCCCGAGCTATAAAAGCCAACTTCTGCAAGAGTGAACGTGTCTTACCTGACCCAGAGTATACGCCAGCCAAAATGTAAAGGTATAGATACTAGCAAAGCATAATCGACGTTCGGCCGTCGAGATGGATTTGTTGCCTTGTGATTGGCTCTTTAGCCTGACCAGCTTTATGACCACGAGGATGTTAATAAGAAAACCGATAATTGCAAGGAAGGTGGCATCGCCCACGAATACGACACCGGTTCTGATACCAAACTAAAAGAGGCGATTTCGATAGTCTAAAAACTAGGGTTTTTCAAGAAGTGAAATATGAAAAATGAATTCCGAAGGTTAAAGAGCATCGTGCACCGCTTCGGTGTGTACGGTGTGGGGTCGCCAGCACTACGCTGCGCTCCCTTCTTACGCGGTATGGCATTAGGTTTGTAACATAGCACTACGATCCGACCCCAGCTTGTGGCCACCGAAAATTGGAAGGGTGTCCAAGGCAGGGGGTACTGTCGCTGGCGCGCGTTTTAGGCGACGAACCGTCGCAATTGCACGTGATTTTCAGCGGAAAAGCACGTGAACCTAATAGCCCGCGTATGCGGTTCCCTGTCGCGACGCGACCGCGCCGCCCCGCACACCCTTCCATTCCTAGGTGCTTTTCGGGGGGGGGGGCATGATAGAACTGCGTAAAACAGAGCCTGTTGTAGTTGTGACCACGCCATACTCCTATGCACACGTCGATATCGTGCGCGATTGTCGACCGAGTAGCCGAATTGAAACCTTCAAATTTCAAAATTCCGAAAATCTGGAAAAGGCACTGAGCCTACGTGAATCCCTGAATTATCGAAATTTGAGATTATGAAAATTAAAAATCGTTCGTTGAAAATTTTTATCTATGAGATTCGAAGTCACTCCAACCATCCCTCATGCAGGTTTCTTAAAAACTCACAATCTCTCGCTGACCCGCCTCGAGCAACCATATAAATTGCGTAATCGGGATGTACTTCGTACCCTGTAGCGTATAGACCGTAGCCTTGCCGGCTGATATCACGGCGCATATAAACAGAATTAGCCCGGTAAAACGATCCCAGAGCTGCAAAAACAATCTATTAATCGATTTTGCGCCTCCAATACCAGTTCATGAGCATCCGCACTCCAATAAAGCGTCGTGTATCGGTTGGCCGCGATCAGGATTGCGCATAGCAGTTGAAAACTGCGATTAAAGTTTTGGAAAAACGTCAGGAAGTACGGGACAAAGCCTATCTTAATAAGAATAGGGTCCACGAATGTCAAGTGCAGGTTTTTCAGACCTCGATAGCGCTAAAATTGAACATATCCGACGTCGCGACGTCCCAGGCAAAAATTTCAACGTGTAATGTGAAGATGTCCTAAATTGACTGGAATTACGTCGAAGTTGGCGAGGTTTTCATACCGTAATACACAGCGTAATGCATATCTTTGAGTACGGGTTGACCGCTCGGCTTTTTATGCAGTGCACCGAGACCAGCGCCGTCAACCAGCACGTCGGAATCGATAGTAAAATTAATATGGTGCCCTTTACCACCGCCAGCCGACTGACGTACATCGCAAAAGCATCCATTTATACAAGAAATTTAGTGCAATGGGAGATACATAGGTATCGTCGCAAAGTCGAGGCACAAATTCACAGCTTTCAAAAACCCTGGCAGACTTAGAAATTAGCGGGTAGGTTTGAATTTCGAATTTGGTATTGGCGCCACCCTAATTGGCATAGAATGCGCTGGCATTCTGGGAAAACAGAGCGGGGTCTTCGCGGGGGGACGTTTAATGTATTGTAGCTTCGAAAAAAGGGGAGGGAAGCCGCGACAAATGAAGTCAAAGTGTGTTAGAATGGTCTCGAAGCTAATATGTTGATTTTTTTGGCGTAACACCAGGTAGCCAAACGCTGAAATGAGATAATGTGAACTGGTTGTGAAAATAATGACTTTGGCGCGACAAGGGTGACTTTCTAAGAATTGGTAGACCGGTCGGAATCGTCAAGTTTCCTAACGCTTAAGCCCAGAGATTACCCAGAGATTCCGCAATCAAAGGGGCGGAGAAGCTAAAAAAGATACTTACAAAATAAAAGCAAAAGTGGTAGAAAGTCAAATCACAGAGTTGCACATTTCCGCGCCCTCTGCCCCAGACTTTCACTGCGTAATTTGCTACGATACTTTTAGCGACTTGAAACGGCTCACGCGTTGCGCGCCGCAAAGCGTGTGATCTACAAGGACGGAAGCCTCGCAAATCAAAGCTATCTGAAAGGCGAGACGATAGGTTTCCTTTGGGCCGTTGTGCGTCACGTGTTGCGCGCGTTAATTTGAGGGTCCACAGCTCAGAAAATTCAGCATCCCTTGCCGGCCCCTTGAAAACGTTCCTAGGACTACCGGGAATGCGGTGCTGTGTGCTTTTCTCAGAATATATCGAGAGTCCTTTATGAAAAGGTCTCCAACTTGAAAATTATATAAAAACCTAGGTTAATTCTTTTTACGGGGAAATCGGGAAATAGAAAAATGGGGGATTGCCTTGAATAACAATTTAGAGTCCTGGCCGTCGACTTCCTCGCATTCACAATGCGTTTCCCGCCAAGCTATCTCTTATTCATTGTAAATTTTATTAATAGCCGCACGATTTGTGCGCCTACGATGAAATAAGAATAATGGGGGGAATAAACACCAACCGGGGGGAACGAATTACAAATATGTGGGCAGTTGGGGAATCGGAAAAGGACAATCCGAGTACGGCAAAAAAGGCTATATACGGTTGCAGAGAACAGAAGAGCTCTAAATATCACATTGACAGCTGTGTTTTCAAGAAAGGAAGCTGGGAGCTCAGAACGGCCTACGGTATTTGCGGTGCCATTCAGGCAACAGAGGCAATCCTTCGCGGATCCTTTTCGGCTAGCCTTTTCTCCGGATATTGTGTCATAGCAAAGGCCTAGAATTAATACATTGAATTCTTGAATTTAAATTAGAAAGCAAATAATTAGGTATGCTTAGTTCGTCATGAAGCGCGTAATGGTCTTGAGCTGACTACGCGCTAAGAAAATTTTTGGAAGCGCGCTATTTTGGATCCTAAGGTTTAATTTGTGCTGAAAACTATACCCTAAAACCAATTTGCTAAGAAATAATGCTCTTAAAACTGTTAAAGCTTAAGACTTACACTCATATGTGCCATGGGCTCAGGTACAGGCAAACATAACATCCGCAAACACCCATTCCGCGCCACGCGGCGCAGCGTTGCGGAATTCCAAACCCAGATCCATACAGTGGAGAGGGACAGTAGCATGCAGCTGACGCCGGACAGCACCTGATCACGGCAGAATATAGCTCTAATAACAGAAAATTTCAGTAACGACTTGCCACGGCTGTTCATACATTCACATACATCAAAAACGCCTAATCAAAAATTACCAATGTTATCG